GTCTCCTTCCTGACATATAGATCCAGTGTGTGAATGTATAGCTACAAAACATTGTGCTAAATAAGCAGCAAAACTGCGCAATTTTACTTTTGCATCTACTGAGCAACTTAATGAAACAAAGCAGAAACTTTAACCCAAAGTTAAACCCCAAATGGAAGTTTTCAGTTTCTTTTGGGTCTTTTGAACAGGCATATTAGTAACTGCAAAGCTCTTGCAAAAGAAGTGAAACTATTTTGTTTCAAGTCAACTAAGTTCATTTTTGTGTTTGATTTATATGCAAGTGATCAACATGCCTAATTTGAAAATTATTTGAATGACAGGAGGAAGAGCTTCCATGCTTCTTCCTTTTCCAGTTTATTTTAGCCTGAGATGCTATTTGTAAATATAATAAGTGAAAATTTGTCAAAACAAACTGTGATCTTTAATTAACTCCCTTTACAACCCTCACTTGTCAGGTTGCTTAAGCTTGGACGAATGCTTGAGTAGCCCTTGTTGCCTCAGTTTTCTGCTCTTGAACAGCTTTCCTGTGGCCCTCTCCCCATCTTCCAAGAGAGTTTTTTTCCCCTCCCCCCAAGCAGTAACAAGGTATTTCTGTCTTGTATCTGCTGGTATGTCACCATAGGGGTGCATAGTACTTCCCTCAAGACATTTGCTGAGTATTTTTTTATTGAAATCCCCAAGGAAAGGGGGATGAGTTGAAGCGGGATGCCCTCTCCTGAGGAGCAGGAGGCAGTGCCGGAGTAGTGTGAATGTGGCTGTGCCGCTGGGCAGCTTGTTTCACACCTGCACAGCAAAGCTTTGTTAACTGGTCTTCGATCACGAGGAGCCAAATATGACTTGTATTTGTGAGCAATGTGTTTGGGCAAGGCATTGAGGGTTGCTCGCGTCCTTCCCCGTCGCCGGACGCTCTACCCGTCGGCCGGCAGTGCGGATGAGCTCCCAGATCATCCAGGAGATCGTGCAGGACAGAGCTGGTCCCAGCAGCAGTGGGAAGCAGGACCTGAGTCCCTGTTCATGAGTCACAGTGTCGTGGTGGTTGCATTAAATGAGCGTGTTGCTCTGAGTGTAAGAGTTCGTAAGGTGCAAAGTCAGGCTTCTGCTTTCGCTTTTTTTTTTTTCCTCCCTTCCCTTTATTTCTTGTACTTATTCTGTCTTAATTTTGGAGTAGCCTCCCTTCCCCCCACCATTTCTTTATATGCCCACTGAGCAGCTCCCCAGAGAACAGAAACTCCTTTGAGCTGCTCTGCACACCACAGTGAGAAACCCTGCTGGTCTTGGTATCATGTCTTTAACTCTTTCTGTTGAACAGCGGCGCACTCTACGAGTATTTCCTTCTTTTCCTTTGAAAATTGATCCCCAACTTCATCATGCAGCCTTCCATAATGAATTATTTAAATAAGCCAACAATTTAAAGTAAAGAGTTATTGCAGCTGTCATAAAAAAAAAAAAAAGAAAAAAAGTGGATATCGAGTTTCTCATGTGGAAACAAAAGCAGAGCCTAGTCCACCTGTTCCCCAGGGGAATGTTGCACTCATGTAGATGGCATGTGCAGTGCTCTCCCTGGCCTTCCAGGCCAAGGAAAACCAGTGAATTATTAGTTGATATTCAAAACAGCAAAGAGTTAAAATATGACCTGATATTTTCAGCTATCAGAAAACCAACATACCACTCCATCAAGCTGAATCTAAATATCTTATGTTTTAGTTTGCCTTCTATTTCTTGTTTGATTTTTATCGAAACTTGGATTCTGTTTTCACTTTTTCCCCTGAAGTCACTTCAGCTAGAAATTTGCTTCAGACCTTTTTTGCCCTGCAGAGAAAGCGAAGTTTTACACAAATCTGTGAATTAAGGCACTTGAGAAAGAAATTGAGAGCTGACAGAGAGGTGTGGACTTCGTGGCCTTGCTGTAAGCAGAGAGAAGGGTGTAAAATCGAAGGGGAAGGGTAAAGAGAGGGGTTGCAGGAATAGTTTGTGATTATCTTCCTGTGAACCTTTCCAGGCTCCTCTTAATGTGGTTAAAGTACAATCAGTTTAGGTTATATCGAAATACTTTATTTATTTTAGGGAAGGAAAATGTTCACCAAAGTAACCAGAAGTAGGAATTCAGGGTCTCACCTCGTTGCATCCTGCCCAACATCTTCTCTGTACGAAACACTAGTGTATTTTCCTGACTGTCTTGGCTGGTGTGGGTCTGCTTGCTTTGTTTTTGATTTCTGGACTGCTGTTCTGAAATCATCCTATTGTTTTATGTTTTGTTTGGATATCTAGGCCCCTCACAACTACAGCTGCCGTGTTATGGAATGAATTTTCGCAGGTTTTGGTGGCCTGCCCCTTTGGTAATGCTGGATGATAATGTCATCAGAAATAGTCCTGGAAACCAAAAATGGTGGAAGTTTAGAGGGCCTCGACGGTGAGGACAACATTCGAGAGGTCCCCAGAGGCCCCCTTGCCTGTCGTGGACACAGAAGTCACACACAGTTTATGCCAGCAGTGCAACAGCCCCAGAGCGCTGGCTGCCTCGCGGCGCCTCTGCCCTGCCCCGGGGCGCTCACCACGGCGAGACGCTGCGTCCTCAGCCGCTGCATCCTGGCGCAGCACTCGGGAATAACCAGCACAGAAGGGCAGCAGGGCTGGGGAGCCCTGGCGTGCTGCCCTCTCGTCCCTGTCCCCTGCAGAACGAGCCTGTAGGGCCGCAGACAAAAATGGCTAATACAGTTCCCAAGAATTCGCTATAGATTTTGTATTGTGAGCTGTGACTGTTGAGTTAATGTTTTTATGCGGTAGATGATCATTAATTTTGCTAATTTGGCTCTCAGGTCCCACCCCTCATGATAGTAGCTCCCTTTTGGAAGCAGGGATATTTTAGGCGCCTGCTTTTGAGTGGCAGCAGTTGGAGATGCATCTCTGTTAGCGTTTCCCACGTTCTTTACAGGGCTCGAAAAATCCCTTCGGAAGTCAACAGCTGATCCACTCACTGAAGACAGAGCCTTAGTTTTTAAATAGTACAGTGACGTACCTAAGTTGGTATAAAAGTATCATTAAATCAGAATTTGATGCTTCCGAATTTTAATGTTAACTTTTCTAGTGACCAAAATAGATTTTTTTTAATTGTGAAAATATTAGGTTTAAAAAAAGGCATGGGTGAAGCATTATGGAAATATTGTTAGACTTCTTAAATTATATAGTACGCACATCAGAAGTCTGAAATGACTCTACCTGCCTAGTTACTCTTATAAACTAGTCCAAAATAATAATTAAGTGTATTTGCTCATGGCAAGAATTTGCATCGAGTTAACTTTTCCCACTCCTCCTCAGAATTAATATTAAAGGAAAGGCCTGAAGCTTGTGCTCTCACTAACGCTGTCATAGCATCGAGCTGTTTCAGCAGTATGGTACTTGTCCACTGAGACTGCTTTTTAGTCTGTTTTTTTTGCCTTTTCCAATCCTCTTTTCTCTTGTTACTCTTCTCCCCAAGACTTGTACTCAAGGAGTGAGTATAAGAGAATGAATAATACTGTGGGTGGTTTTCCTTTTCTGGCCAGGTTTAATAAACATTTCAGGTAGATGGATTCCCCTCCTGTTTACACAGCCTCCGAAGGCATCTAGACCTGGCACCAGGGGCACGGGGCACCCTTGCGTGGCTGCCATGGGCCCGGAGAATGCAGAGCGCTCGGATTGGGCACAACTTAGGTCGTAGTTACAAAATCACAGAATGGTTGAGGTGGGAAGGGACCTCTAGAGATCATCCAGTCCAACCCCCCTGCTCCAGCAGGGACACCTAGAGCACGTGACACAGGGTGGCATCCAGGCGGGTTTGGAAGATCTCCAGAGAAGGAGACTCCACAACCTCTCTGGGCAGCCTGTTCCAGGGCTCTGTCACCCTCACAGGAAAGAAGTTCTTCCTCACATGGAGATGGAACTTCCTGTGTTTCAACCTGCGCCCATTACCCCTTGTCCTGTCACTAGCTGCCACTGAGAAGAGTTTGGCCCCATCCTCCTGACATTCTCCCCTCAGGTACTTATACATATTGATCAGATCTCCTCTCAATCTTCTTTTCTTCAGGCTAAACAGGCCTCACTTAGTCTTTCCTCATACAATAGATGTTTGAGTCCCTTAATCATCTCCGTTGCTCCACGCTGGACCCAAGCTCGGCGAGTCCTTGGGGCCACAGTCCTGCCAGGTCTCCAGGTGCAGGGCCCAGGCAGGGGGACAGGCTCCAGCCTTGACAGTTCCCTTGGGCGCTTTTCCAGCTACCAAGGTACCTGCCCGGAACCAGGCCGGAAAGAGCACCTCCAGAGGCGTCTGGCTCGCGTTTCTGCTGGTGGCCACGTTGGTTTCTCCGTGGTGCAGCAGGTGGAGAGGAGAGCCCTGGAACTTGACTCTAGTTAACAGGAGGCTGCAGCTTCTGATGGGCTCTCACCTCCCCTCATCATGGCCTGGGTTTGTATCAGCCTGGTGAATGAGACAAGGCCGTGTCGGGGTTCTGACGGGGTTTCACGTTTCACTCGGCGCCCAGGAGCAACCCCGAGGAGCCTCGCCCGCAGGGAGGCGCCTCAC